AGTGGTTTCGAATGGTGTTTCTCACACCTCCAAAAGTTGAAGCCCGAGTAGTAGTTTCGTATGGTGTTTCTCACACATACAAAAGTTGAAGCCTGAGTAGTAGTTTCGTATGGTGTTTCTCACACCTCCAAAAGTTGAAGCCCAATTAGTAGTTTCGTATGGTGTTTCTCACACCTCCAAAAGTTGAAGCCCGAGTAGTAGCTTTGTATGGTGTTTCTCACACCTCCAAAAGTTGAAGCCTGAGTAGTAGTTTCGTATGGTGTTTCTCACACCTCCAAAAGTTGAAGCCCAATTAGTAGTTTCGTATGGTGTTTCTCACACCTCCAAAAGTTGAAGCCCAACTAGTAGTTTCGTATGGTGTTTCTCACACCTCCAAGTCCTTATGGAGGTGAGTATCCAGGACTAGGACTGGCGTCCTAGTCCAGACACTGGTGGTGCATGTTTTGGTGTGATGGGCATTCGAACCCGCAACCTGCAGATTGTGAGTCAAGTGCCCTAACCACCTGGCCATGCCAGGCCTATATCTGTTATGAAAATATATCATATAATACCACTATAATAGTTTAAATAAACAAAGTACAGGACACAATATCACTGATAAACTACTGATCCGTTGTTTAGTTAACAGTACTAGGTTCACAACAATTGTAACAAACAATGACCCCACATAGAACAGTGTCACAAAATTACCTGTAATAAGTTAACACCACTTTGTTCACTACAGTTATGAGGAATGAAGATGCAGCATACAGAACTGCCGACAGGATTTTGGATAACAGTGGAACAGGGGTCTTTGATGTTATTTCTTCTTTACGTATATAAATATTTACGACATCACACTCTGAGTCATGGCTGCTCTTGGTAGACATATTCACTGAATTAAAAAACAAAATAAACTTACACAAGAAGTAATGTTAGAATCATCCACACAACATTTTAATCCAAGCCTACATTATCTCTGTTTTTGCCAATACTAAAAGATGCTATTGGGAAATAGAACCTCAGTTTTTTTTTTATTAAAACTGTTATTCATTTTTGTAATAATGTTACTTTAGTTAAAATCTTTTATGAGAGAAATCGTTCTAGATCACTAGTGTTCTTTCAATTTCTTTTTTTTAACACAAAAATCAGAAAAATAATCCAATATATTTCACTCAATGATATTATGTGTACAAAAAGATAAAATGAAAATGCTGACTAGACTCCTTTCATGTACATGTACCTACCTTCGAATTATGTTGTTTTTTTTGTATCTTTCAGCAAACACTGTTTCTTATGATGGCTCACTAGAACTATAAAGTTAATAATATTACAAACTTAAAAAATTTAACTACTAAGGTGGAAGATTACAGATCATCAAGATATTTGGTTAATGAGGATATCTGAAAATCAAAAACAGTCATATGAGAAAAAGGTTAGCTGATAATATTAAAACAAAAAACAGTTAGTAGTTCTTTAAACGCATTAAAGGTAAACATGATGTTAAATGGAACTGGGTTATTGAAGATGTATTACTGAAGATTATGGGACGATTGAGTTGCTAAATTGTTATTTTACTTCCATTTTCACAGTATTCCAGATTCTGCAAAATTACTTGTGGAAAATCATGCCATTATCTTGGCTGTTGCAGTACCGATTGACAAGTATCTTGCACGAAATGACGGCACTTTCTGCCACAACAAGCAAGTTTGTCTTTCTATAATTCTTACAGCCACGTTTTTGTTTGTTTGTTTTTGAATTTTGCGCAAAGCTACACATGAGCTATCTGCACTAGCCGTCCCTAATTTAGCATTGTAAGACTAGAGAGAAGGCAACTAGTCATCACCACCCACTGTCAACTCTTGGGCTACTCTTTTACCAATGAATAGTGGGACTGACCATCACATTATAATACTTCCACAGCTGTCCCTAATTTAGCAGTGTAAGACTAGAGAGAAGGCAACTAGTCATCACCACCCACTGTCAACTCTTGGGCTACTCTTTTACCATTGAATAGTGGGACTGACCATCACATTATAATACTTCCACGGCTGAAAGGGCGGGCATGTTTGGTGTGACGGGGATTCGAACCCACGATCCGCAGACTGCGAGTCAAGCACCCTAACCACCTGGCCATGCCGGGCCTAAACCAAAAGAAATGATTAAAATATATATATATATATAAAATGGGACAATGTGCTACTTTGGGAATATATTTAGATTTGAGGGTAGGTTGGTAGAGATCATGATGAGTAATAAAATAAAACTGGGTATACGAGTGTCTCAAGCTTGGTATTTCTGGTGTACAAAAAACATAATACTTTTCATTGTGAAGGAGACCCATTGACACAACATCACCAAAGTTTGTCCCCTCACAACCCTCGGTTATAGCTCTATCATAATCCTCATGTTTTACCCGCAGCACACTTCATTTTGAAAATACCCAAATTAAATCTCGCATATTCAGCTAAGCAGGCAAACAAAGCCGAAACCAGGAAGACAGTACAAAGAGAATACCTCCAAAATTCATAATAAAATTCACTGCCCTTACCATCACAATTAATAATTTGCAGGATCATACAGTTGACCAAGTAGGAATATGTCTTTGAGAATCAGTTTTTTTTCACACGTTTCAGTCTATAAGGATTTATCAAGAAGAACATTTGAACATAACTTAAAAATATACAGAAGTCAAAATGCTAATGAACCAATACTTAAAGGAAATGACCAAATACACATAAAAAAAAGTTCTTTTCGTCAAATACTAGAAATAGGATGGTCATTCTCCATACATATATTGTTACTAGATTATAATTAATTTTAAGAAAACATGTTCATAAAACATTTATTTAAATATAATTTTGAGAAGACAAAATAAATCATCATTTCCCGTCATATGACAGGCATTTAGCTTGTATATAAACTTAATATTAGCCCTGAAATTGCTAGAGAAATGTTCGGAAGTTTAAAAAATTATAGGGCTCCTCAGCCAAATAATATGTTTTCTAAGGGCAGTAAAAGAGGTTAAGGATTTCATAAGTAAGTCCCTCATTTATATTACTTACGAGTCTTTGAGTATTGGCCATTTACTAGAAGATCGGGAGCTGGCTAAAGGAACATCTACTTTTAAGCATGGCGATCAGCACTGTCCAAGTAATTATAGGTTAATTAATCTTATTTCTATGGAGGTAAAAATCTTTGAGGGCTAATGAAAGATGCTTTGAAAAGTCACCTAACAGAATTTACAGTTTTGTTAGACAATAAGCACAATTTCACACAAAGGAAGACTTGTTTCATGAATCTTTTGCATTTCTTCAAAGATGTCACTGCTTATGTTGATGAAGGTAAAGGTGTGAATTTTATATGCTTGAATTTTTAAAAGGCTTTTGACAAAGTGCCACATAAAAGAGTAGCAAAGAAAATTATTTCTGTGGGTGTACGATATAAGTTTGCCCAATGGATTAAGGATTAATCAGAGGAGATGAAGCAAAGGATTGTAATAAATATAGTTCAGTCAAACTGGACCGGAGTTACAAATGAGTACCTCGGGGCTCTACACTGGGACCTTTACTCCTTTTGACATACCTCAATGATATGCTATGTTACAAAGCGATTTGGATCCTTTGACATATTGGGCAAATAAATGATAGATAGCATTTAATTATGCAAAGTGAAAGATAATGCACAAAGGTTACATGTACCCTAACTTAAACCATAATTAACACCTTGATGGAAAACAACTCAGTAGCATTATGGGAGAAAAGGATCTTGGTGTTTTGGTTGATCATTCTCTTAAAAGCCTACCAGGCAGAGTGTTGTAGTCAGTGGGAAAGCAAGTACGAATGTCTTCAGATATAGTAAATGCAACAGTAACGAGAAACTTCAAATGAGGACTTGATGAGTATTTGAAAAGTCCGGGTAGATGAGTGTTTCATAAGAGAAAATTCTAGCCACAATCTCAGAAGAGAAAAAAGCTTAAAATATAATACAGTAGCGAGTATAGCAGCCCCAAGATTACTCCATTTTGCTTAAATAAAGAGCCCCCTTCAACCCCTGAGGAACCATTTAAAGCCAAGTGTTGCCCTATGTATTACATAAGGATCCCAAATGTTTTTGGGTGAAAAAATACTTAGCTTACATGTTGTGATACAAGAAACATTAAACATGCTAATCTACAGATAGTGACTTCCATGTACAGTCATTTAACCCAACATCAAAATAAATTAAACTATGGTGCAAGCTTTTCAACTGTTAGAAATAACCAATTTTAAGGTTACATGAAATCAAACTAACATCTAAACTGCAATAATTGAAAATTAAATAAGGGTAACATTCTACTAATTATTAAGGTCGTACTCCATTTTGTAATACAGGCTTATGCAAAAATTCCATCTACAGAACAACAGTTAATTAGCATTATACATGCAGACTTTTTACCAAAACTCTTTGCTTCACACATGTTAATGTACAGGGCCAAGTACTGAAATATTCTTATTCAATAAACAAGTGCAGTACTTTGTGTAAAACTGCTAAATTTTATGTCCAGTTTTTGTTGCTTTTATAAGATGGAATATCTATTTGACTTTTGTGTTGTTGTTTTAGATTTTTGGTTTATTGAGTGATGAACTCAGTAGGCCAAATCACTTTATGTCTTGTACATCTTCTGGTCGTATATAACATTTTGGTAAAGTATAAAGTGCAGAGATATGCATTTAGTATGTTTCCAGATTTTAAAAAAATTAGTATGAGAGGCTTAAAAACTTGGTATTTATAATCCTCTGAAGCCTAGCAGAAGAAGTAGAGATAATTTAGTTCATCATAACATGCTTTAAATTATTAGAGGTTTGAAATTACTATTTATGCTCACGTAATGGAATATTCAATTTGGTTTTAAAAACTTAAATATTGAATGTATCATGTATGCTTTGGAAGAAAAGGTCCAAACTTATTTTTTGGAGAATTATTTTCATTTAACTTATGAACTTGTCAAGTGGCTTAACTGATAAGATGATCAGTGCAATTATTTTTTAATTTTATTATGTTTAAATTTTTATCCAATAAATATATGACAAAGGGCTAAATTTAGTTTGTGTTCCCTGCTTTTCTTCAATTCTTGGAACTGGAACTTGGAAGGATTACCTCAAGTTCGACAAGTGAACAACTAAACATTGATTATATTGATGAAAACTAAGTTAGTTGTAGAACTTAAGTATATATTTATATTATATAATATTAATTATCTATAACGAACTAAACCTTTACTTAAAATATTATCAATAATTATTACTCACCATTCCAAGGTCTAAGTTAACTTAGGCGGCAACTATACAAGTATACTGTCGGCGTATTGTTTTCTAACTTTTATAGTTATATCTGTAACTAAGTCTAAAGCTGTTTCTGGCTAACCACATTAATTAATAGTAATATACTAATACCACTTTAGGCCTAAACGTACAAGTCGCACACCAAATAATACTCTAGCCAACAAATATATTTCAAAACTTAATCTTATTTAAAGACGAGTACCAAACTAAATGGAAAAGTCTTTGTCACGTGACATAGTATGAATGTTTTAAACACATGTCTTGTAGTCTTGGTTACTGATTCTGCGTAAAATTAACATCCATCATATGTTAGACCCCTACAAATCTACAGAATGTCAAACAGCAGTTGAGGAGTGGTTTGTAAAGGAAAAAACAGTAAAAAAGTATTTCTGGAAATTTGTAACACACGTGTTTTAAGGGTTAACCTTGGGTTGTACTATAGCGACCTATAAATAGTCAAATAATGGTTGGAAACGGCTTGAATGGGTAATGAAGAAAAACTTTAACATAAGTTTAACATAACAGCAAATGTACAACGTTTCGACAAGATTTT